TCCCCCCCCCCCCCCCCCCCCCATAACGTTTCTAATGGTCCGTCCCTTAACGAGAGATGTCGAAGGGGCGATCAAAACCTCTGTTTGGCGCGAAGACTTATTACAAATGACGTAGCTGAAAATTCATTGATTGATTGGCTGAAAATAGATATCAGAACACATGTGTTCTGGTAACACAATGGCTCATATAATAACTTATTCTTATTCTGAAAACTGTCAAGTGAACGCGCCATAATTCATCAGTGATCTACAAATGTATCTCTATTTCTAGGGGTTGGAGTAATTACTGGACAAGCTATACACTCAGTATGGAAAATATTTAATTACTATAGCCCAATATCGCCTGTTAAAGGCGTGTTGTTTATTTATGGCATGCGTTTGCGATGTTTAGCTTTTTCAAACAAACAAAAAAAAGAGTTATTTTGCCCTTTCCCCCGGGTGGAGCATTTGCGCACAAGAAAAAACTGTTTGTCCACACAACGCGTAAATCGAAACTGACTGTCCGCCCCTCAAAAGAAACGAGTTATCTTGATCTCATATTTTCTTTCTCTCTTTCTTTCTTTTCTGTTTTTTACCACGGAAACACAAAATGTTGACTTGTTCGCTTAACAGTAAATGAATACTTCCAGATCCATTTCCTGCTCTTTGTTTTCTTGCTTTGTCTGCAATTTTTAATCTTTTTAAAAAAATGTGCTGAAATTAAAATTGTTATTTCCGTCACGTCGTCACGCTTGCAGACAATTAACTTCTCCTTGGTCTAGTTCCCCATGACTTTTTCTTGCGGAAAAGTCCTGGGAACGAGGTTGGGCCTCATTTTCATATCTTTTTCCCAGAATGAAGGCGGAAGTAGAAAGTAACTTCAGCGAAAAGGAGTGAAATTCGATTATTGCAGCTACAGAAAGTTTGCTTAATCAAGTCTTCGATAAATTGCTTCTTTAGTGTTTAGAGGTAAGTCGAGTGAACCGAAGAAACTTGTTAAACAAAACATCAGCTCGCCACGTTGTTTCTTTCACCTGGAAAATTAAAACAGGTATGTTCAGTCTTGAAGTTTATTAACCTTAAAATATAATTTTGCACATAAATGTTGAATTATTTAAAACATAAGCTTACGTGCCGAAATATTATTAAAGGTGAATCTAGGATCAGTCAGTAATCTGTTATTCTGTTCTTCCTTTTTATATTTCAAGCCATAGTTACATTATAAAACATACCAGATCAGAAGAAATGCTCATGCAATCATTCTTCGGTATTCGTAGATACACTTCAAAATATAATGTGAAAACATTTTAGCGTAATACCGATCGTAGTATATAGCACCCCTTGGTGATACCTCTGACTAATATTGATTTTATCATAGCATTGCAAACTGAGAGCTCAGAAAAACGAGTATTTTAAAAGCGAAAGCACTTTCTTTTGAATCTTCGCTCTCCGGCAAAGGCCCGGAGTCGATGTAGCAGAACGATCAGTCATGGCAAAGATGACCAGTTTGCCAAATGGATAATGAATTATATTCAATTACAGTGAAACCTCTCGTTAATCCGACCACAGGAGAGTCATGAAAAATGGATATATGAACGAGAAGTTTTTCGTTAGGTAAATTAAAACATTGTGTTTTCACGTTTACCTTTCCAAAGCCGCCCGTCCGTTGTGTATCTTTATAGAATGGGGGATCGCTCACTTTTAATGCATTCACAGCTCAAAAAAATTATAAAGGGGTTGGCAGAAGACAAATCATTGTGAGCAGCTACTATCTGTTACTTTACATTCACAAAAAAATGGTAAAAGTCTTATAAAACACAAGAACAAGTTTGGGCTTGATTGCATGGAGGTGGGGGACCCCAGGTAGGTGAGGTGACCCGCTTTGGTAGGGTAACCGGACCGTTCATATAGTCTCTCATTTTAATTTGATCACGATTACATGATAGGTGGGGTAACCCACCACATGTTTCCTCACCCATCTGGGGTCGCCCACCTCCATGTAAACAGGCCCTAAGAGAAGCTGTATAAAAGGAAAGAAAAACGAGCAAAGCAAGGAACGAAGGACTGGAAGGAGGGAGGTTGGAAGGAAAAGTAGGCAGCTTAGTATTCCTAGAAGCTAAGAATGAAGTTAGATATATTGTCACACCTAACACTTTTCTACATTTTTGAATCTTATATTGTTTTATTTTCTAATTACTGCATGCTTCAGATACAAAGGTTGAAGCCCGTTAGATCTCTGACGCTTTGGATCCAATATGGCAGGTTAGTGTTCGGTCAGAGCACTATAATCTTAGTTCCTGCATGTTGTCGTGTGGGATTAAGATCCTTCGAACGAAGGGAAAAGTAAAAGTTTCATGCACAATCCTAATGCCCTGAAAATACACGAAATAAATAACTGGCAATTGGTGATTTGAAAACTAGTAATTATTGCATGAAGCTGGGTATGCTTGCTTTCGACGCAGAACTCACTTCTAATGCAAATATGCAGCTTCGGGATCACCTAGTACCAACTTGCTAAGATAGAGGGAGCCTGGGATCATAATCATTGCATGCACTCCGCAATCTTTGATTAATATGACCAATATGAAGGTTCTGCTACTTAACGAGGCGTATACACTAATGTATACGAGATCTTAATAATTCATCGCAATATAAGAAGCCGAGTTGAACGAGTAATAATACAATTATTGCATTATCCGTCCAAGCTCAAAACATGCTTTTTCCTACTTACTTCTATGTACAATTCTCTTCTTCAAAACATTTTCCTGTTCCTTGGCAGTTTTAGTTTTATGTTTATTCTGGCAGACATTTTTCATAACGCAGTTGTCATCCCTCAAGTGGTATTTGCGTATTATTGCTATGTTTTTGAGGCAGTATTTGTACTATTTCTCCTCATGACATGTGATGGCATGAAGGTTTGATTTCGGCCTGCGTTGTCAAAAAACTTTTCAGGATTTTGAGTTTTTCTTTGACGTCAATCAAACCGTTACTGTAGCATCCAATCCTTGCTTGTCAAATAAAGGCGGCAATGAAGAGCATAAATAAAAATAAAAACAAATGTTGGCGGGAACTTACCGATTCGTTTTCACCCTTCCATATCTGTTTCCTCTGGACTTAGAAGCTCTATAGAAACAATTTCACCTTGGGAATCTAAATTTGCCATGTTTCCTTAAACAGGTTAAAAAATTGAGAGCTATGATGATGTTCGATGTGTGTGAACAACTTGTTTCAGTTCGGTGCCATTGTTGTTCATAATATACCCAACCGAAACTGCTATCCGGCATAGTGTAAAGATAGCATATTAGGGTTTTGTAAGCTGCTCTGACTGCCACCTTAGACAAAATGTCGGCAAAATTGCTATAGCGAAGGTACGAGAATTTGTCAAGAGCAGAGACCTCCTGGACTAGGAAAAGGCAAAAGCTCTGCCCGAGAATACTACGGTTAGGGTTAAAGACCCAGGGGTAGTCAGTAAGGTCGGGAGAAAAGGTGCTACGAAAGGTTTTCCTACTTGAAAACTTTCCTCGCTTCGTTTCTGACTGACTGCTGCGGATGCGG